AGACTCAACATAGTGAAAATGTCAATTCTACCCAAAATGATCTACAGATACAATGTAATCCCAATCCAAATTCCACCAGCATTTTTTAATGAGATGCAGAAACAAATTACCAACTGTATATGGAAAGGGAAGAGGCCTCAAATAAATAAAGCATTACTCAAGAAGAACAAAGTGGGAGGCCTTACACTACCTGATTTTAGGACCTATTATACTGCCACGGTAGTCAAAACAGCCCGGTACTGGTATAACAACAGATACATAGACCAATGGAACAGAGTTGAGAATCCAGATATAAGCTCATCCACCTATGAGCAGCTAATATTTGACAAAGGCCCAAAGTCCATTATTTGGGGAAAAGACAGTCTCTTTAACAAATGGTGCTGGCATAACTGGATATTCATCTGCAAAAAACTGAAACAAGACCCATACCTCACACCATGTACAAAAACTAACTCAAAATGGATCAAAGACTTAAGTATAAAATCGAAAACAATAAAGATCATGGAAGAAAAAATAGGGACAATACTAGGAGCCCTAATACATGGCATAAACACAATATAAGGCATAAATAACAATGCACAAGCACCAGATACGAGACTAGATAAATGGGAGCTCCTAAAAATCAAACACTTATGTTCATCAAAAGACTTCACCAAAAGAGTCGAAAGACAACCCAAAGACTGGGAAAAAATTTTTGGCTACGACAAATCCAATCAGCGTCTAATCTCTAAAATCTACAAGATACTGCAAAACCTCAACAACAGAAGTTATATGTGTTCATCAAAAGACATTTGTTAAAGGGTCTTAAAAACTTGAGAGCAGCCATCTAAGATACAACTATTGGTTTCTATTAATCTGGAGCAAAAGAAAATGAAGAAAATCCAAGAATCAGAGAAGGAACCAGACTACAGGCTAATTGTCTACATGAACCTTGAGATCAGAAGGACTAGAGGGTGCCTGGCTACCACAACCAAACATTCTGATTAGGGTCACAATAGATAGATCCTGATAGAAAGGGGGAAAAATGCAGAACAGAACTTCAAATTCTCAAAGAATCCAGACTTACTAGACCCACTGAAACTAGAGAAATCCCCAAGACTATTGCCCTGAGATATCCTTCAAACCCTGAACCAAAACTATCCCCTGAAGTCACCTGTTAACTAAATAGCAGGTTAGCTCAAAAAGTAAACAATTTCACCCTTGAGAACTGTGCTTTTTAAAAAATTATCTATATGAGACCAAATGGACAACAGTTATTCCAAAGTATAGATGAGAAGTTTGGGATGGGGTTGGGGGGGAACAGTGAGACTAAATTAATGGGAGTGGAACAACTAAAATGGAAATAATGAGAATGTTGACACAAACTGAAGAATATAACCAGTGTCACTGAACATTATGTGTAGAAATTGTTGAATGGGAACCTGTTTTGCTGTGTACACCTTCACCAAAAACACAATAAAAATAAATAGAAAAAAGACGTGTTAGAAAGTTCATAGCAGTATTATTTGTAATAACCAAAAACTGGAAACTACCCAAATGTCTATCATAGAATGGGTAAAATGCCATATATTCAAACAATGGAATACTATAATGATAACAAATAAAAACAACCACCACACAAGACAATGTGTAAGAATCTTCCATAATGTTGAACAAAATGAAAAAGACATAAGACCGCCTATTCTGTATGATTCGGTTTAGATAAAGTACAAAAACAGGCAAAACTAACATATGCTATTAGAAATCGGGATACTGGTTAGCAGTGGGAGCATGAGAGGGCTTCTAGGGTGTTAGCAATGCATTATTTCTTGACCTGATGTGCTGGTTACACAATTATGTTCAGTTGGTGAAAACTGACTGAGCTATAGATTTATATGATACGGGTACTTTTGTGATTGTATATTATACTTCGATTTAAAAGATAATAAGAAGGAGCCTTGGTAGCACAATGGCTAAGTGCTCAGCTGCTAATTGAAAGGTGGTGGTTTGAACCCACCAGGCGCTCTGCAGGAGAAAAGACCTGGAGATCTGCTCTCATAAAGATTTCAGCCTAGGAAACCCTATGGAGGCAGTTCTACTCTGTCTATAGGGTTGCTGTGAGTCAAAATTGACTCGACAACACACAAAACAATAAAGGAAGAGAAAGGACACTGGCCCCTAGAGTGAATGCCACACTTTCTTAGCTCCTACTGTTTTCCACTCACCTTGCCCAAAAGCTCTTCAAACTCTGGAGACCATTCCTGCATCAGTGTGTCAATATCGGGCATAGGCCTAAAAGTATAGAAGTGAATATGAACAAGAACACAGATTGATAACATCAGTAACCTCTGGATCAGGATATTCTAGGATAAAGGAGAGCCTCTCCATCTGGGATATGAGAATTTCAGAAGAACCCAGGCTGGGGTAAACTAAACTTACTTAGGGCCTAGGGTTTGGAGGAGCTAGCTCAGAGATGATAATAGATAAATCACAATCTTTATGTTTGCAATCTGAGTCTATAACTACCAAGACCCACAGGACCTCAGGTTGACGAAATATGGCCCTAACCTTTGAGTCTCTTCTCAGAAGCAATGGGTTCACAGGTGGTGAAAGGTAGTGTGAGTTACTGTGGGGAGGAATGTGGCATTTCTTACCTGGTATAGTGCACAGTTGCAGGGGGTTTAGAACGGTGTAACTCAGAGATGCTTTCAATCCATGTGTCAATGGCTTTGGGATTTTTTTCTGCATCTTCCAAGCTCTTTACTTTCATATGTTGCTAGAAAAATAAGGGGAAAGCCTGGCTGGCAGCACTGAAGTAGCTCTTTTGTTTTTACAGAGAGGCTCATCAAATCTGCTGCTATTTCATATGCGAAATAGCTGATGAAAAGGAAAGCCTGACAGCAACCAAATGAAGGTTATAAGAAACCTTGACAAAATTCACTAGAACCATGGAAGGGGGCAGGTCAACAGGGCTGAACAGGCCACAGTGAGAAACTACTTCACACTCACTCAGCATGGCTATAATCAAACAGACAGATAATAACAATACTGGAAAGAATGTGGAGAAATTGGAACCCTCATTCACTGCTGATGGTTTTGTAACACTCTGGAAAACAGTTTGTTAGTTTCTCAAAATGTTATGCACAGAGTTACCATATGGCTCAGCAATTCCACTCCTACATGTATATCCAAGAGAAATAAAAACATATGTCCACACAAACACCTGTATGTTCATAGCAACATTATTAATGTTCATAGACATATCATTAATAAAAGTGGAAACAACTGGTGAATGGACAAACAAAACGTAGTATATCTATACAATGGAATATTATTTAGCCATAAGAAGGAATGAAGTGGTTACCAGGAGTCAGGATAATGGGAAATGGGGAATGACTAATGGGTATGGGGTTTCTTTTGGAGCAATGAAAATGTTCTTAGATAGTGGTAATGGTTGTACAACTCTGTGAATATACTAAAAACCACCAAATTACACATTTTAAAATGGTGAATTTTATGGTATGTCAATTATATCTCAATAAAGCTGTTATAAAAAATAGGATGGGGCTGAAACCATAAAACAAACATAGTTGCTGTTGAGTTGACCCCAACTTATGGCAACCCTATGTGCGTCAGAATAGAACTGTGCTCCACAGAGTTTTCAACGGCTGATTTTTCAGAAATAGATCACCAGGACTTTCTTCTGAGGTGTCTCTGGGTGGACTCCAACTTTCAACCTTTTGGAAAGTGTTAACCGTTTGCACCAAAAAATAGGAGTGGACTGAAACGATAGCCATCCCTTTTGATGGGCAGTAAGTCAGCTTTAGAAATGCTAATAAGGCCCCTGCTCTCAGCCCCACTCCAGCTGGGACCTGTACTAGGCTAATATCTTACCGTGATGTTATGCTGCTTGGAATTCTCTGTTAACCAAAGTGAGAGCACTGTAGGGTCTGACTGCTTTGTAGAAGGCTCGTCCAGTACCAACAGGCCAAGGTTGTCAGGCTTTCCATCAGGACGTGGGACCTGGTTAAGGGAAAGGTAAGAAAGCAGAGACAAAAATGAGAGGGACATAATAGGGATACACCTGCTGTTTCGAATAAGGTGAAGAGGAAGGACAGTTCTGGTTCATCACTAGTAGAACTAAAAAGCATGCTTGTAAATCATGCTGTACAAATACGATCTAGAAAAAGAAAACATATATAGGAGGTTAAATATAAGGCTCAAATCATGGGAAATTGAGAGGCAAATGCATGACAAATGTTTAATATATAATGAGATAATTTAGTACTATCTAACAGCAATGAGTGCAATTTGGGGTAGAGGGCAAGGTTAAGAATCAAATGAATATATATCTAAGTAGCCAATTCAAGTCAAGGAAGTTACTGGAATTATTAGGGTAACAGAGAGGGCAGAAGAAACACCTAAGGAGTCATTTTTTTTAGGACGTACTGACTGTACCTTTAAGAATGCATCAATATCCCCAACAGCCGGGATAAAATCAGGAATGAAAGGTTTCAGTTTGTGGTCCAGGTCAATCAGCTGAGGTGTGTACCTATGATATTGCCAAGGGAGGGTGAAGGCAAATGTTCAGAGAAAATTACTTTATTATTCAGGCTAAAAGAATCTAAGGAGAATGGCCCTACTTCACACTAGAAGGTAGGAAAGGTTTGGGACAAGGTGGGGGTGGGGAAGGTACGATGGGAGGTTCTTGTCACTTACCTACTGATGTACTGGAAGAGTTCCTTAATCTCAGCAGAAACTGGCAAATGCTCATAATCTGCAGGATCATACGCTCTGAGGAAAGGAAATACTATTCAGGGTTGCTGGACAAGAACGAACATCGCAGAGTCCTGGTTTAGCCCATACGTTACTCTGACCTCAGGGTGCCTGACCCTGAACCTAGCTTCTGCCTCCTTCCTGGTCTACCTTTTTTGGGGGGTTTGCAAAGCAACTTTAAAATGGATTATAATTAATTCTCAGTTATATCTGACAACAAAGAACAGAGCAGCAGAAAATCCAAAACATGATTTTTCTTTGACTTTAGAATGCAGCATAAATGGTTTTCCCTTTCTGTGAATGAAAAGGATAAAGAGAGAAGGTGGAATAAGAGATTTACACTTCTAATATAGAAAGGGTTTGCCCCAAGAAAAGAAGTAATTTTTACAAAATGTTTTTAACAGTGTTATTTGTAATAGTAAAAAATTGGAACAAATAAAATATCCAACATTTGGGGGATGGTTAGGTGTGTCAAACTGAATACTACATAGTTATTAAAAATTAATTGTACATTATGTTGATATATGAAAATGCATATTCTACTGTAAAAACAGTAGAACACATAAGATTAATTACAATTACGTAAGATGTAATGAACACTGGCAAAGTAAATGACTTGGGGCGTTATTAAGGTTTTTTGGGGGGTTTTGCTTAACAAAAAAAATAATTAATGATTTAAAATTTATGCGTCCCTAGAATATAACTTACGGAAGTAGGATAAGTAAGTTGGGAAGCATGGGAAGTCAGTCTGGAGGTTAAATATTTGCCTAATTTATTTCATGCCTACCGACAAGTGGATAATACAAAGGTAACTATTTATTTTTATAAAACTGCTTTATTTAATAAATGATGCATGTACATGATACAAAATAAAGGGTATAAAAAGTATACAGTGAACAGCTAAGTCTCCCTCCCACCCCTGTCCCCGTGCCACCAGTTCTCCTCCCCAAAGGTTAACAACTGTTATTAGTTTCTAGCATATCCTTCCAGAGATTGTTTATGCAATTTTATTACATGCATGATAACACACCATTAACATTATTCTATACCTATTTTTAAATGTAATACTATTTCTTAGAGATTGTTCTTTACCAACGCATAAATAGCTGCCTTATACTTTTTAATGACTGGATAGAATTCCACTGATTGGCTATCTATCATTTGTTTAACCAGTCACTGCATTTTACATGGTTGGGCCTTAGAATCCATTCTGATTAAAACCTAAAGAGTTGGGTTATGAGTAGTCTACCACCAGGGCTGGAACAGGGTGAGATTTTTAAGCTTCATCCAGGAACATTTTGCCTCAGTGTGAGGCTCCTGAAGCACCTCTTCTCTACCTGTCCAAAAAGGATCTGAGCCTAAAATAGAAACGCTTCTGTGTGCATGTATATTGTTTTCCTTGCTACATAGAAATGCTTTGTATATACATAAATTTATTTTCTTTCCCAGAATGTAAGCTCCTGGAAGGCACGGACCATCTTTTAGATTTACTCAGCAAAACCTCACGCAATCCCTAAGCTCATAAACATTTTAGATAGTGCAATGACATAGGACTCAATGAGGCAGTGGAATCAGAAAGGAATAAGAACTCATTTTGTTGTGTGTCATGGTTTGAATTATGTCCCCCCAAAAATGTGTGCATCAATTTGGCTAGGCCATGATTCCTGGTACTGTGTGATTTTCCTGTATGTTGTAAACCTGCCTCTATGATGTTAATGAGGGAGGATGGGTGGCAGTTGTGTTAGTAAGGCAGGACCTGATCTACAAGACTGGATTGTGTCCTGAGGCAATCTCTTGAGATATGAAAGACAGAAGTGAGCAGTGGGACAGGGGGACCTCATACCATCAAGAAAGCAGTGCCAGGAGCAGAGCGCGTCCTTTGGACAGGGGTCCCTGCGCCGAGAAGCTCCTAGTCCAGGGGAACACCGAAGAGAAGGCTGACAGAGAGGAAAAGACTTCCCCTGGAGCTGACACCCTGAAATTGGACTTTTAGCCTACTCTGACTGTGAGGAAATAAACTTCTCTTCATTAAAATCATCCACTTGTGGTATTTCTGTTATGGCAGCACTAGATGACTAAGACATTGTATTTCTCAGACATCTGAAAATCCTAAATAGAGGAGATCAAAAGATGCTGGAGTTTTGGTTTTAACTGATACCCTCTCAGCCCAGCGTTCTGAAGGAAGCATTTTCCCCCTCAGTTTGCATGTCCTTGGCAAGGAGTCTTTCCTCACCCTTCCAGAGGGGCTCCATGCTCTTCATCATCATCATCTTCATCAGAATCAGTTTCAGATGAGTCATCATCATCGTCATCATCATCATTTTCACTAAAGCCCCGCTGAGGTGTCAACTGTGAGGTCGTCTTCTTCTTCTCCTAAGATAGGGCAGGGTAGGCATAGAAAGGTCACATAAAGTGAACTTTAAGTGTACTCTGCCTAGCTCCCTCCTATCATTCAAACCAATATCCTACCACCTGGCACCAAATCACCAGAAAGACAAGGTGGCACTCCCCAGAAGGGCCTTGAGAGCATTCTTCTGCTCTTGCTCAACTACAAACCGGGCTCCCACTTTCTATAACCATATTCCATTTCTTTCCTTGGGCTTGTGTATAAAATCTCTGATTTATATCTATGGTACCTCACTTAGGAGCTCCTGAGAGTTCTGCATAAAATATCCAGTCAGCTTCAACCCTAAAACTTAGGGACTTCTTTTTTTTTCTATTGTTGCACTTTAAGTGAAAGTTTATAATTCAAGTTAGTCTCTAATACAAAAATATATACATACATTGTTATGTGACCCTAGTTGCTCTCCCTATACTGTGACAACACACTCCTCCTTTCCACCTAAAACTTAGGGACTTCTGAGGTGGAGGATGGCAACTCTAATTATTCCGGGAGGTAACAGGAGATGAAGCAGGAAAGACAAACTTTAGAGGATCTTAATATTCATAAAGATCATAGGGAGAGAAGTTAGTATTTAATTTACAAGACAGCCCAGAATAAGCTGCTTGAAGCTATGGGGGAAAAAAAAGTTCATAATCAAGGCTGTGCTTGAATTCTGACCAGCAGCTCCAGAGACTAGGGGTTTTCCATCAGTGGTATTTTTCTTGAAAGAGTATGTGACCTATTCATATTTCCCTTCCTCCAGAAATTAAATACAGTGACTATACATTCTATCTCAAATAAGAGACTCTTTTGTTCCTGGCATTACAACCTACCTTTCTGACCTTCTGGCTCTCTACATACCATCCCACCCTCACAAGTCCATGAAAAGGGGCCTGGTGGTGCTTGGGGCTGGCAGGGGCAGTTGGGATGGGGTCCATGTCTTTGCCCCTGTGGCCTGGAGCCTGTGGCATGCCCTCCCTTAGGACCTGAAGGATGACCAATTGGCCCCCTTTAAAAGTAGGTCTTGAAAGCTTAGTTCACATATGCCATATGGCTTACATTGAGGTTAACAGATATTTGGTTTCACTTTTTAAAAATTATGTATTTATTTATTTATTTTTGTTCGGTTTTTTTATGATAAAGCAGTTACTAGCACATAAAATAGTAACATGCTACAGGACATCAAAAACTGCTTTTGGCCACATTTTCCTTGAAAAATAATACAGATTATACATAGATAAAAATATATTCTAACTAACCTGTAATATGTATGACAGATAATGGCACACAGTTGTAGAATTTATTCAGTGACTATGCCTTATTGGTATACAGCTAATAAGAAACTACTGTAACTACTTTCACAATTCAAAATTGGCTAAAATTATCCTTGGTCACATGGGAAGCAGTTTTGGAAAGAGGAGCTTTCAAGAATTTTTTTTTTCTGTTTATTGTTGTAGCTTAAGTGCAAGTTTACATCTCAAGTTAGTCTCTTATACAAAAATTTATACATACTTTGCTATCTGACCCTAATTGATATCCCTATACTGTGACAGCACACTCCTCCTTCCCACCTCTGATTTCCCATGTCCATTTTGCAGCTCCTAACCCTCTCTGCTTCTCATCTCACCCCAGGACAGAAGCTGCCCGTTTAGTCTCATGTATCTACTTGAGCTAAGAAGCACACTCTTCACGAGTATCATTTTATGTCCCACAGTCCAGTCCCATC